CCGGGGACTGGATACCCCCGGGGGAGCCACTGCTGAGCTGTGACCCCCTGCCGCCCTTCTCCACATCTCCTGCCCCGACCACCTACATGGCCTGCTCTCCCTTGTTCCTTTTTTTTCTCCTACAAACACAGCTTTGGAGGGCAACCTGGGAGAGAAGCTGTTTCTCTTTCCTGCTGCCTGCAGCCCATCTCCTCCGGGGGAGGCTCAAAGGTGGTCCAGAGTTAGGAGTTGAGCCGCCCGTTACCCGGCTGGGCAGCCCATCCCCTCTCATCCACTCTCCCCATGCAGGAGGCAGGTGTTGGCTTCCTCAGGACAAACACCGGGCAGGGACCAAAGATGCCAGGAGCTCGTCCCCACCCACTGTGCCTCTCTCCAGGGCATGCCACAGCCCAGGAGCAGGAGCATCCGCCCCTCTTCTGGTGATGCCCAGCCCCTCCCAGCACAAATCCTGCTGCTGTGGTCATGCTTCTGCCCCAGTGCAGTGGCTATAGCTAGAGGGGCTGGGGACATGCAGGAGTCACCCCTCGCAGTGTCCTCCCATCTCTGCCCTTGTGGCCCTCATAGCTCAAGTTTTTTTTGGGTGGTTTAAGAATAAAACACAACAACCCTTAAATAAAAGTCATCAGTGTCTTCTAGAAAAAACCAGCGGCCTCCACTAGCTGATCCAGGCCTGGGGAGGAGAGAACTGGGGTCCCTGCTGGGGACAGGGCAGGTGGCTGCGGTGGTCATTGACCCTGGTGGGGTGGTGGGTGAGCCCAGAGTGACCTTAGCATCCCTCTAGAGCCCCGTGCCTCAGTTTCCCTAGCTATAAAATGTGGCTGCTTGCCCTGTGTCCCAAGAGCAGGTGGGCTCCCACTGACCCTCTGGCACAGACGTGTGGGTCCCAGCCCCAGTTTGTGCAGTGCCAGGTCCCCAGAAGATTTACCTTCAGTCGCAGCAGCTGCGTCACCACCAGCAATGCCAGGCAGATGGAACACGTCCCTGCTGTGTCCTCTGGGACAGAGCCACCAGAGAGGAAAGGACGATGAGTATCTCAGAGGGCTGTTCTGCCCCAGCATGGCACAACCTCCCTCTCCCTGGCATTTACCACCAGCCCTTCTCTGTCCCTGTCTGTCCTTTGGGGCGGTGGGTGCCATTGCTGCTGCGCCGTGACAGCGGAGGCGGCGAGCAGGGGGGTGGAAGGAGGTCCTGTGTGTGTGTGTCCCCAGGCAATGT